CTTAAGTGACATTACAAGCGGCGCCATTATGGGCCCACAAGGGCGTATTAACGTGGCAGCCTAGGACGGCGCCTGGAGGAAGTAGGGTGGGAGTGTCTGCGGAACCTTGCCTTAGCCCTTATTGGCCAAATACGTGCTTCTGTGCTCGTGAACACTGCGTGATTGTAATAGCTAGGCATTGAGACAGGATGCATGCCCTTCACCTTTAAACTGATAGGATTACCCTAAGGCAGCATTGGAGTAGAATTTGTCCTCCTGGGGCTTCTGGTTGGCGTCTTCCCTCCTGCTATAGCCTTCGTGCCTTAGCAGTGTGCCCACCTGTGACCCCACTGCTCTGGGACACGGATCGGATGTTCGAGCATTTTGGAGGTTGCCCGTGTATTCCCCACTTGTCCCTCCACAATACTGCCCCACCAGACTTGGGACAAGCATGCAAGTCCCTAGTTTCATGCTATGCGTTGCCCCTCGGCAGGGTGCTTCTCCATGGTGGAGGCCATGAACATGATGCTACGCTGAGAGCCAGCTCCTCAAGGGGCCTCCCAGGCAGAGCTCTGGCCCGTGCTGTGGAGGCTTGAAAACTGGAGCAGGTGTCTGGGAGGAGGGCAGATATTCTTCTAAGGGGAAAAAACAGGGATATGGTTATGGTATGTTCTTATCCTTTTAAGAATATCTTTTGATGTTAAAACCTCCCCTCCCCATCTGCCTATAAAAGCAAGTGCTTGTGTGATAATAAGCGGAACTGCTCCACAGAACCCCCGCCGCGTCTGAGTGTCCTTTAACTAGGCTGGTTGGGGCCGGCGGTTGTGCTTGCCTCTCTTCACGGCTCTCTTCCCCCGTCTCCTTCCAAAGGGGATCGGAGGGAAAGAGTAATCCGGGCCATTCGCTCGCCCACCAAAAGGAACAAGGCTAGGGCTGTTCAGGTTGGCCAGCGGCGGACCCGACAATAGGCTTTATTTTTAAAGCAGTTTTAGTTTTGCAGAGAAACTGAGCAGAAAAGACATAAAGTGATTTTTTTGTATAGGTAAGATTTCTAGGAAAGTGATCATATCGTCTATTAAAAAACAACACTTAATTTATGCTGTCATTCAGGAAATATTTACTTAATTTCTACTATTCTAGGCACTGTGCTAGAGACCAAATGTGCGTTGAAGAAAACAGGCATTGTCCTTGCTCTCATGGAGTTTACAGTCACTTAAGAGAAATATACTTTAAACAAATATAGGTAGAAATTGTAATAAACACAAAGAGCAAAGTACAGATTGTTTTGAAAGGATAACCACAAGAATATGACTTAGATTATTTGTCTAGCATCTTTCACAAACCATGATTTTATTGAGATTCATCTATATTGTGTGGTTCTTTTGCTGGGTAGTGTTCCATTGTATGAATATATTACTCTTTGTTTATGCATTTACCTGTTAATGGGCATTGAGTTGTTTGCAGTTTTTTGCTATTACAAATAAAGCTGCTATTAATGTTTATGCACGGATCTTTATGTGGACATATACTGTTATTTCTATTGGATAAATATCTAGGAGTGGAATAGTTTGACCATGTAGTTATATATGTAACATTTTAAGGAGATGCCAAACTCTTGCAAAATGATTATACAACTCTTCCTTTCCACCAAGTATGCAAGAGTTACAGTTCCTCCATTTTCACCAACATTTGATATGATCACTTTTAATTTTGGCCATTTTAACAGTTACATAGTTGTATCTCATTGTATTTTTAATATGTATTTTCCTATTGACTAAAAATGTTGAGTAATTTTTCATCTGTTCATTAGCCATTCATATACGTTCTTTGATAAAGGTCCCATTTTAAAAATTAAGTTGTTATTATTGGGATTTGAGAGTTTTTTTTTGTATTCTACATACAGATGCTTTATTGGATATATGCGAAATTTATTTTCCCACTCTGGGGCTTATCTTTTCATTCTCTTAGCAGTGTCCTTTGATGAGCAGACACGTTTAATTTAGGTGTTCAGTTTATCAATTCATTCTTTTATGGATCATGCTTTTGGTTTCATATCATGTCTAACAGTAGGAAATAAAGGTTTCCTCATATGTTTTCATCTAGAAGATTTGATCCTTTTTGAGTTAATTTTTGTATAAAGTGCAAAGTATGGGTTAAAGGTGTTTTGTTTGCATATAGATATTCAGTTGTTACGACATCATTTGAAATGTACCCTGTGTTCACTAAATTGCCTCTGTGCCTTTATTAAAATTTAGTTTTCCACATATGTGTGGGTCTGTTTTTGGACTCTTTGCTATTAATGTATTTGCCTTTCTTTACACCAATGCCAATGTTTTGGTTATTGTAGTTTTATAAGTCTTAAAGTAAGGTGTTGTTCGTCCTCAAACTTTGTTCTTTTTCAAAGTTGTTTTGGCTGTTGTAGGTCCTTTACATTTTCATATAAATTTTAGATTGTTTTTTTCAATTTCTACAAAAAAAAGTCTGCATTGATTTTAAATGAGGTTGCATTTAATATATAGATTAATTTGGGGATAATTTACGTTTAGAAATATTAAATCTTTTGAACTATGTATATGTTACCTTTCTCCATTTATTTAGGTCTTCTTTAGTTTATCTCAACATTGTTTTTGCAGTTTTTAGTGTGCAGATCATTTTGTCACTGTACTAGCAAGAAAAAAATATATAGAGAGATATACTTAGATGTTTTGTAAGATGTGTGCACCGTGCACAAACCCTACAAGTCAGGATGGCTCACCTCACAAATACCACGAGACAGAGTCCGATGCAATCATGCAAGAGGAGTTTATTTCCAGCATGCTGGGGATGCCTTGTCTTCAGGACATAAGTGGCCCCGAACTTTCCATACCAGAGCTTTTTATACAGTTTTTTCTGAACAGATCTTTATGACAGGATGAGTTGTTGGTTATCTGTGGCGCCCTTGGATTTATGGGCAGACTCTAGCAGGCTGGTACCCCGGTAGATCTGTGGCGCCTTTAGATTTACAGGTGGGCTTTTCCCCGATAACGGCGCTTCTTTCAATCGTATATCTTCCTTGGCACCTGGCATGGAGGCTCTTAGATAAGGAACCAAGGAACCAGCTCGTCCCTGGAACTGGGTGGGGGCCACCCCGTTTTTGGGATGTTTAGTGTACTTGGGCCCCCTGCTGCTTAATAGCCCCTTAGAAGTTGCTTTACATTTCAACAGCCCCTTAGAAGCTGCTTTACATAAAATGCCTTTAGATATGTTTCCCTGTTTTAGCAGGTGTTTGCAGAAGCAATTTGTGCAGGTTAAAGCTATCCTAGCAATTTGTGCAGGTTAGAGCTATATTTTTCCATTACTAAAATCCCACAGTTTCTCTAAGAAATATATTTAGAAAGATATTCTTAGAGATTTATCGTAGAGATGTACTTAGAGATGTCTCTAAGTATTTAATATTTTTAATGGTATTGTAGATTGTATTTTTTTTCAATTTCAATTTCTGATTGTTCATTGCTAGTATATAGACATATCATTGAGCTTTGCACATTGATTTTATAGCCTGCAACTTAGCTAAATTCACTGTAGCTTTTTTGGTGGATTCCCTCAGATTTCCTACATAGATGATCATGTTGTCTGTCAATAAAGAGACTATATCACCTGTGCCTTTCTAATCTGAATGTCTTTTGCTTCCTTTCCTTCTTTTTTTTTTTTTTTTTTTTTAGCAAAAGTGTTAACTCTCTCCCTGTCAAGTATCACATTAGCTGTAGGTTTTTTATAGATGCCTTTTATTTGATTGAAAACGTTCCTTTCTGTTCCTGGTTGCCGAGAGTTTTTATTGGGAATGACTGTTAGATTTTTTCAAATGCTTTTTTTTTTTTGTCTTTTTCCGTGTCCGGCAACGGATCGCAACCCTCAGTGTCGCCCCCGTACTGGACCGGGACCGGCAACGGGATTGCAACCCTCGGTGTTGCTCCCGCGCCTCGCTCAGCCAGTGAGCGGGAACCGGTCTGTATGTGGGATCCGAACCCTCGGATGGAAACGCCGCCGCGCTTCCCAAGCGGCGCACTATCCAGTGCGCCACCGGGCCGGCCCCTTTTCTGTGTTCTTAAAATAAAACCTTAAGTCATTGACTTGAGACCTTTCTTCTTTTCAAATGTAAGCATTTATATAAATTTCCCCTAAGTACTACTTTAGTGACATCCATGAATTTTGGTATGTTGTGTTATAATTTTTATTCAGTTCAAAATACTTTTTTTTTTTTTTTTTAAAAGATGACCGGTAAGGGGATCTTAACCCTTGATTTGGTGTTGTCAGCACCACGCTCAGCCAGTGAGTGAACCGGCCATCCCTATATGGGATCCGAACCCGGGGCCTTGGTGTTATCAGCACCGCACTCTCCCGAGTGAGCCACCGGGTCGGCCCCAAAATACTTTCTAATTTCTCTTTTGACCCATGGATTATTAAGAAGCATTTTTTTCAGTTCCAAATATTTGCGGATTTTTCAAATATCTATTTTTACTGATTTCTAATGTAAAACTGTTTTAGTTAGAGGACATGCTTTGTACGACTTGAAGCCTTTTGAATTTACTTAGACCTGTTTTATGGAATCAAATTTTGTCAATCTTGGTAAGTATTCTATGTGCACATGAGTATTTGTATTTGCTGTTTTGGATGAAGTTTTGTATGAATGTAAATTAAGTTAGTTGGATATTAGTGTTCAGTTTTTTGTATATCCTGATTTTCTATGTTTTTTTAAAATCAGTTATCAAGAAATGGATTTAAATTTTTAAGTATAATTGTGGGTTTTTCTATTGTTATTAACGTACGAGTTTTAAAATGTGTGGCTCACATATCAAACACAATGAATAGTCCAAGAGGAAAATTACTCTTATTAAGCATTATTCTAAAAGGCCTTATTGGAACATTTCTTTAGTTTGTCCTGTAGGATTTGTAGCATCATCTTTATATGCAAAAAATCTTTTATTTACTATGTTTTATTGTTTTATCGTATATCTAATTCATATTATTGTTTTGCTTGGCAGCTTCTATGTTTTTGAAACAAGCATTTGAAGGAGAATACCCTAAATTATTGCATCTTTGTAATGACTTATGGAAGCGTATTCAACAATACAGTCAAAATATCCAAGGGAATTTTAGTGCAAGTGGAACTACAGACCTCTATGTTGACCTACAACACATGGAAGATGATGTACAAGACATATTCATCCGAAAAAAGCCAGATTATGAGTATGTTTGTTTAGTTTGACCTATTGTTGGCTTAATGATTTTTATCTTTAGTATTTATTATAGATTATAAATTGAAAATCCACTCCCTCTAAATATTTATTTGTATTCCTTAAAAGATTTTGCAAGACTTTTAAAAGAAGTCAAACTTCACCCTCAGTTGAGCATTCTGGTTCCTGTTAGAGTTGTTTTAAAGTATAAATAACTAAATAGGGTGATTAGAAGCTAGGAAATGAGCATATGTGGTTACTGTCTTTTAATTGATATTATAATATACTTGTAATTATACCAGATTGCATCATTATTATGAGCCATTGGTGTAAGTGGGACATAAAAGGAACTGGTGTGTTCAGAAACTGTAGGGGAGATAAATCTTATGGTGGGGTAGGTTGTCAGTAAGTTAGGAAAAGAATAAGTATAATCAAAGCTACCCATAAAAATCCCTTAGATCACCTATTAAATACAGAAACTTGTCATATTTAGGAGCCATACTGGAAACCAATATACCATCTCAGTAACTTCAACCCAGACAGCTTTTCATCCAGAATTGAAACAGAGTGCACATGGTCCCAGCTTAGGATGGTTTGACTTATGATTTCTTGACTCTATGATGATGCAAAGGCTATATGCATTCAGTAGAAACCAAACTTCAAATGTTGAATTTTGATGTTTTCCTGCACTAGCCTTATGAGGTATGATACTCTCTCAAGATGCTGGGCAGTGGTAATGAGCCACAGCTCCAAGTCAATACACTACTGAGTACTGTGTTTCCAGATGATTTTGCCCAACTGTAGAATAATGTAAGTGTTCTGATCACATTTACAGTAGACTAGGCTAAACTATGACATTTGGTAGGTTAGGTGTCTTAAATGCATTTCAACTTACAATATTTTCAACTTATGATGAGTTTATTGAGATGTAACTCCATTGTATGTCCAAGAACATCTGTATTTTTAAATTTCTCTTTGAACACCAGATTAAGTGATTGGCTTACACACCTTTCTTTAAACACTAGAATCATGTTTATTGTGGCAAGGCTGATTAAAGAAGTAGCAGATTCTTAGCACTTCCTTTATAAGGAAAATGTTGGGTAGATTCGTGAGTGCTGTTTAAATAGTTGTTTCTTTCTCTTTTAACTGTTTTTCTAAATATATATAGTTGAATTTGTCTTAACTGTAGCTTGAAGTTCTGGCTGGCAAAATATAGTATATAGAAGTTCTAGCTGGCAAAATATAGTTTATAGAAGTTCTAATTGACTGGGCCGGCCCGGTGGCACACTGGAGAGTGCGCCTCTTGGGAGTGTGGCGGCGCTCCCGCCGAGGGTTTGGATCCCATGTGGAGACTGGTTCCCACTCACTGGCTGAGCACGGTGCGGGCGCAACACCGAGGGTTGCGATCCCATTGCCGGTCCCCGGTATGGGCGCAACACCGAGGGTTGCGATCCCGTTACTGGTCAGTAAAAAAGACAAAAAGGGAAAAAAAAAAAAAAAGAAATTCTAATTGACAAAATAAGTGGTCAGAATAGGTTAGAATGGTAGAACAAGACCAGATGTCCCCTCAATAACTCTTTTATGATAAACATGGAGATTAGATAAGGCCCAAATATAAGAAGACAAGAGTACAGAACTTGTATCTATTGATTTACAAATTTTTAATGATATATTAGTTTTTTAAAGTATATATAGAATAGCATATATATTGTCATTCTATGATTTTCTATGCTTTATTTTTAAATCTATATGCATGTAGTAAAAAAGGTCTGGAAGTATACAAAACAAATGGTATTAGTGGTTTATCTCTAGGAGGCAGAATTCTTATTTTGTATTTTCTGTTTTTATTTAAAATGAGTATATTTTACTTGTGTTTAAAAGTGGGGAAGCAGTAAATTCAGTGGAGGGGGAAAAATAGAGTGAAAAAAGCCTCTGTGTCTTCACTAATGGTACATCATTATCACCCTTTGCAGACTAAATTTAGTAAAATGGTTAGTGAAGAAAAGGTGGTAGGACCCATATTCTAAGAAGTAAAAAATCATGAGGATAATAAGGAATCAAATGCAATGGATTTAAAATATTCTTTTGAGAAGTAAGGTAGAAAAGAAAACATGAATTTGACCATGTTAGCTGAGTCAAAGGAGTTTGTTTGTTTTAGTGCTTTTAATGATGGGAAGCTGAAATTTTTTGTAGGTAGAAGTAGCGAGTGGAGAGAAAAAGAGATGGAAAGTACAAGAAAGAGGAGAGATAATGAATGGAACAAGGCCCTAGAAGAATCAGAATAGAAACAAAGCACAAATAGCCAAATTATTATTTTTCACCATTCAGTTCTCATGATGAATTTTCAGTAGTGGTAATTGTTATGAAGAAAATAATGTGGTAGAGTGGCATATATAGAGTGGTCAGGGAAGGCCTCTATGAGGAGGTAACATTTGACCTGAGATCTAAATAATATGAAGGAGTCAACCATGGGAGATTTGGAATAAGAATTTTGCAATCAGAACACAAATTTAACAGGCCTTGAGAAAATTAAGATGGGGAGGTCCGAGGAACAGAAAGGTACAACTGGAACACAATGAATGAAGAAAAGGATATAAGATTTGGTCAGAGAGGAAGGCTGTGGTAAGGTTTTGAAGTTTATTCTAATACAGTTGGAAACCACTGGTTTTAAATAGAGGAATGATCTCAACAACTGATAAGTGTTTTAAAGTTAGTACTCTGGGCCGGCCTGTGGCTCACTCGGTAGAGTGCGGTGCTGATAACACCAAGGCCACAGGTTCGGATCCCATATAGGGATGGCCGGTTCACTCACTGCCTGAGCGTGGTGCTGACAACACCAAGTCAAGGGTTAAGATCCCCTTACCGGTCATCTTTTTTAAAAAAAATAATAATATAGTACTCTAAGAAAAACAAGAGAAAAAAGAAACAAAAAAATTAGCACTCTAAGGGCTGATTCGTTAGCTCAGTTGTTTAGAGCATGGTGCTAATAACACCAAGGTCCAGGTACTGGACACCCACAAAAAAACAAATAATATAAGTTACTACTGTGGTTTCTATGTTGACAATTAGGAGAAGACAACATAGAGAAACGGAAATGGGAAGTGGAAGCTGTTTTGTTTATCCAGACATGAGATGATAATGGGTTGAACTAGGATGAGCAGATGAGATGGTAAGAAGTGGTCAAATTGATTCAAGATGTATTTTGAATCAAGATAAATTTTAGAGGGCTAGCCAAGAGAATTTCCTGAGAGGTTGAATTTGAGAGGAAAGGGGAATCAAGGATATGACTACACTCTTTGGTAGAAGACTTAAGATTGGAAGACTTTGTTTTCTTCAAGGAATTGTGTTGAATTAAGGTTTTTCTTTTGAAACTGCTAAATTGAAAATGCAAATAGAGTTGTCAAAAAGATAATTGAGTATGAGTCAGGGTTAGAAAAATATGTGTTTGGGAGTTATCATCATATAGATTTTTTTTTTTAAATCATGGAATTGGTAGAGATTACATAGGAGAGATGTATATACATAGAAAAAAGAGAACCTTGGCCCCAAAAAGGCACTCCAACTGGCTGGCCAGTTAACTCAGTTGGTTAGAGCATGGTGTTATAACACCAAGATGTGAAAGGTTTGAATCCCTGTACCAGCCAGCTGTCCCCTGAAAAAAACCAGAGAGCACTCCAACATTTATAGGTGGGACAGAGGAGTGGCAGCCTGCAAAGGAGACTAAGACAGAAATAAATGGTGAGGTAGAAGACAACTCAAAGTTGTGTGGAACTCCAAAGAATGAGCTCATTTAAGTTGGAAGAGGAATAAAGTCAACTATGTCATGCTACTGAGAAGTTGGAGAAGATTAGGGCTCAGAATTGACCTCTTGATGTAGCAACATTAAGGTTTCTGGAGACCTAGATGTGGATTGGTAGATAGAAAGCATTATTATAATTGATTATAAGAGAATGAGAGAAGATCGCATTCTGGCAAGACAACATTAAGAGCTCTGCTGACGTGCTCCTCTGTGAAACTGGTGAACACTATTTTTAAGACATCTTAAGCCTCCGGAAATAGTTCTGAGAACAAATAGCAAATGAAGAAACATCTGTGTAAGAAAATCTATGAAAATTCATTGAGAAAGGCTAGAGACTGTGGTATTTGAATGAAGACTGTTTCCTCTCCCTTATCCCAGCTCAGTGAGCTAGAGACTTCACTCAAGACTACAACAGCCAAGAACACAGGGCTCCCTCTCCCCCTAGCTCGCAGCTGGAGGGCTTTTTTTCTCAGAGGAGCAGGAACTCAGCTGCTTCTTGTGGAGGGTAACTTCCATATGAGTGAGAGCAGGAGGTGAAAGCTTTGTTAATGTGCCCAACTCCCACTCAAGGAATGGATCCTTGATCATGGCAGGCTGAAAATATTAGGGCCCCCCCCAAATCATTGCACAGGCTCTGCAGATAGTGATTCCCTGCCAAGAGTTGCAAACTGAGAGGACCTCAAACTATTGTCCCCCTTCCACCTAGTGCTCACTTCCTAGTGTGAGATGTCACCTGGAAAAGAGCTTGTCATTTTCTCTGATCTCAGCTCCAGAGCCCTGGCAAAAATATTTTGCCTGAGGGAGAAGCAGGCAATAAAACAGATCGGCTTTAATCTCTTCTGAAGTAACTGATTTCATTTGCAATAGAGCCTGGAGAAGTTATAAGCCTGAGGGCGCTGCACAGAACCCCTGAAGTTGTGGTGAAAGGCAGTGGGGAGGAGATACCTGGATCTAATGAAGAAACAGGCTAGACTTCAGGTCATCTAGCTCCCACAAGAGACCCAGGGAATAAGACAACTGGGAGTAGTTCACTTGGGGTCAGAACAAATATCAAACATGACCTCAGAAACTACTCTATCAAAGGAGCTACAATTAGGGCCGAGCCCATGGCTGCTCAGGAGAGTGCAGCGCTGGGAACACAGCAGCGCTTCCGCCGCGGGTTCGGATCCTATATAGGGATGGCCGGGGCGCGCCAGTGAGCATGGTGCAACCAG